CAAATAATTAAATTGCATGTGTTATTTCTCATAATTTACATCATTGGAATGAATGTGAAGTGAGACCAAAGACTCATTAAGAATTCACAATAGACATAAAAATGAAACTAATAGTTATTTTGCTTCCCAATCTTATTCTAAAGGAAAAAGAAACAGTCAAATATTTTAGGATGAAATTCTCTAGAGTCTAAACAGTTTGAAACATATAGCATATGTTTGGAAACTTTTAAAATCCAAATAAAATGACTCATTGAGATGTGATGCCTGAGATGAAACCAAAAAACATGTAGAGTATAAGCATCGCCAGGGAAATCCAGTGATTTTTAATTCAAGACAAAAACTGGACCCTGGAGTTTGTGCATGTTCAGTTGATTTACTAATGATATATGTATGTCTGTGTATACTCAAATTCATACAAGATATAAATACGCATGTGTTAGATGAGTTTACTCATATATTTAGCATTTTCTATCTCCTATGATATCTTAGACAAGTAAGCACAGAAAATATTCTATTATGGCAAAGCAATTTGGTATGATTGATTTTCTGCTTGGCATTGTCTTAATGTGAATACTGTATAACTAACAAGATGGCAAATCAAAACTTGATATCTCTACACATCTTTTTTAAAAAAATGAATATTTTAATTTTATGTGTATGAGTATAGCACCTACATGTAGGTAGGTGCACCCATGTGGTGCAGTACTCGTGGAGGTCAGAAGAGGGCATTGGATCCCTTGAAACTGGAGTTATGGATGGCTGCTAGCCATCATGTGGGTGCTGGGACTCGAATCCAGGTCCTCTGCTAGAGCAGCCACTGCTGTGAATTGCTGAGACATATTTATTTAATGATGAGGATTTCTGATGTCAGCATAGCCCTTCAATCCAAAATATGAAGGACCAAGCTATCTGTATTATTCTTAAGATTCTTCTCCCACTCATTCCTCCTCCCAGGAGCCTGCTATAGGCTGTGAGCAGAAGGGGAAAAGGCAAAGGTTAGAGACTCTCAATTACAGGATGCTATGTTCAATGGAAGAAAATAAGCCATTTCATACACTTTTATCACTTATTGATTGACATAAAGATTGCCAGGATTGCTTAGTCATGCATATCTCTTGCCCCTTAATATGATCCATCCTCTATTTAAACCTATATGTCAGGTCAGTACTCCAAAGACAGACTGCATCCCTGTGAAACAAACTAAACAGCATACATGAGGGCTAGCCATCTTTCTCTAGGCAACAGAAATGACAAGAATGATTGTGAGTCATATGTATGTTTTCAGAATGGTATGCCCTTTAACACATGTATGTCTATCATAATGTGCATTTTTCATGTACATAAACATTGATTACTTTGCATGGTTTTTGTCAAGTCCAGATGCAAAATTTAAAATTATAGAGAAAAAGGCCCTGTATAGGTGCTGTATCTTATTCTGCTCACTACCAATTAAGAAATTTTGCCCTAAAGTATGAATGTTTCTTTGCAATTCTCTACAAATCATCATTAATAAGATAATAGAGCAGAAATATTAGTAGGGAGTTCATTTGATTTTTTTCCTCCCTAAAGGCTGGTTTAGTGAGAAAATTTATCTACATTTCAATACTAATGCACAGTGAATGATAAATGAACTCTACTGAATAAAGGACATGACATTGCTCTGCCTTAGATTTCTGTTTTCTTTCATCAGAATATTCTGCCTTGCAAAGTTCAGAGCTCAGTGCTCATCCCCTTATAAAGAATAGATAAATGAACCCTGGAACTCTGAAGAACTCAAGTTCAGGGCATTACTCAAAATAGGCAAAAAGAAACAGAATGAGAGACACAAGGCCAGCCAGAAAGCTGCCTTGCTGTTTTGGTTTCTATCTAGTTTGTCTGCCCTGGTTCATTCTACACAGGAAGAGCAATGGCAAAGCTATTTCATGTTGCTTTGACAGCCAGATTCAATGGCTGCAGGACCAGAGACAGTGAAAAGATATCTGCCCTGAAGCTGAGAGCTAAACGAGAGGAAAAACACATTACCCTTCACTGCTTCCTCCTCTATCTGTCTGTACTCTCTGGTTTATTATTTGAAGAATAGGCTCCTTATTCAGACAACCTCCTGTATGAGCCGCATAGCAATGGCTATAACCCTGATGGGTGACAAATTCTGAATTGATACTGCTAAAGGAAGTGCTGGAGTCATAGGGGGGAAAATACTCACATTCTTTTACAGTTGCCATGAAAAAAGTCAATTTATTGTCACTGGTTTCTTTTTGAACTTGAGGAGCATGGTGGCTAAATCCCTCATTTTATGTTAGAGATGAACACACAAGCTAAGAAGAGGGCAGAGTGAGAAACATCAAATTTACAGAAAAGAAAATATGAGAGGCATTGACCCTCAAAGTTCAAGTGGTAGGCAGTAAGAAACACTAGGAAAAATGTTTACAATTTGATTTTTGGCTATTACAAACTATAGCTATATTCTGAGCAGGATATCAAAGTAAAGCAGTAAGTATTACTAGTATTAGGAATACATTGTTCAGAATGATAGAGCAATTGATAGTAGTCATTTGCTAATATTTGGATGAGGTACAAATAAATATAGCAATATCTAATTTCTAGGAAATAAAAATTAAAGCAACAAAAAATTTATTCTAAAAATAAATGAAATCAAGTTTATTTTCATTTTGATGTTAGTAATAAGAACAGAATTACACATGGCAGCTCACAACTCTCTGTATCATCAATTCCAGGGAACATGGCACCCTATTCTGACCTCTGCAGGTACCAGACACACACTTAGTACACATACATACATGCAGGCAAAACATTCATACACATTAGATAAAAATAAATAAATCATTGAAAGAAATTTTACAAACGAACAAAACCAAGGTCAGGGGAATATAATCAGTTGGTAAAGTTTGTGTTTTGCCAGCAGGACATGGGTTCAATCCCTGGAACTCATGGGCCTGGTTATAACTGCAGCACTGGGGAGGCAGAAACACACAGATCCCTGAAGTTCACTAGACAGCAAGCCTAGCCTGCTTGGAAAGTTCTAGGCTGGAAATCCTGGCTCAGAAGAAGGTCACTTGAGGTTGTATTCCAACCTTTACCCAAATCATTTCTGATACCGAAAAAAATATTTTTTCATACATAACAAATGCAATAGCAAGGAATTAATAACTAGAACAGGGAATGTCATAGTTGTACACCATGCTATTATCTCCAACATGTACAAGAACAAAAGCCACAGCAACACTGAGATACTGATACATCTATCTAATGAGAAAAGCACCACATGACTTCAGTGAAGCTTCTCTTGGTCCACTACTATCATCTGACATTGTTGACTCTTAGGAAATCATACTATTATTCTGTTGCACTTAGAAGTTAAATGAAATAACACATTTTAGACCTAGATATCCAAAGCTTTACTCAAGAAGTTTAGAAAGGCCAGGCATGGTCGTACATGGCTTTAATCCCAGCACTTGGGAGGCTGAGGCAGGCGAATGTCTCTGTGAGACTGAGGACAGTCTAGACTATACAGAGAGTTCCAGGCCAGATGGGGCTACAGGGAGATCCTGTCCCAGGAGAAAAAATACTCTAGACAAGATGGCTAATGCACAGGTTTAACTTAATAACTTTGTTACTTAGCTATTAGTGAACTTGCTAAAATTTTAAAAAATATAATATTTTAAATATTTTTTGAGAATTTTCTCAGACCCACCTCACCCCCTCTCAATTTCATGCCTAGAATGTCTTAAAACACTTCTTATTCGTTATGAATAATCGAGCTAAAACAAAACCAAAGTGGTCAGTATTAGTATAAAAACAGAATTCTGACCCTTAAAAATGTGATGATTATTTCTCATGAGTGTGTCATAATTTCTCAATTATGCATGAATTGGATAGCAGTGATTTGAGATAACAGGGGCAGGTCTATGAAGGAGTATCCCACTAAATTAATATAGTCATTTGAATTCTAAAGGCATGCATACTCATAGCTTAAGAGCATCTTAGATAATTGGATTAGTTAAAATGATTTTCTTTTAATAGTTTTAAAAATGTATGTATGTGTATGGAGGCATGTTCACATGCAGGTGCAGATGCCCGTGAGCATATACACGGAGCCCAGAGAAGGAAGTTGGATGCCACCCTCTATTGCTCTTATTTTTTGAGACAGGGTCTCCCTGAATTAGAAGCTCACCATTTTGCTTAAGGTGACTGGCCAGCTACTAGGATCTGCTTGTCTGTGTTCCCCAAAGCTAGGGTTACATGCACACATTACCGCATTTGCTTTCACAAATGTTCTAAGCCACTGTGCCATCTCCTTAGCCCCATAGTTAACATGATTCTAAGTTTCAAAATGTTTCTCAAATAAATAAAAGTATTTCTTGCCTCATCCATTATGTACATGTAAATCTACATGGAGAAGAAATCGGAGTTGAGATAAGGCATGTTAATATTCATGGAAAATTATTCCTTATAATAGAACAGTAAAATAAACATTAGAATGGCAATTCTGCATTTTTATTGATTGAAATTAAAGGCATTTTCTGAAATGCTACAATTTCAGGTCTTCAGAAAGACAGAGATATAAACATCTATTAACACAGCATATATGAGCAGGAGATCACAGCATAAAACAAAGCAAACTGAGGCACATATAAGAACTTTCATCTTTGATTGAATTCTAGAATTTATATTATTGCTACATACAAATATCTGTCTCATAAAATACTGCATTACATTCAACAGGAAAAAACCAAACGATGCATAATTCAAATTTAAAATTAAAGGAACAAATTATTTAACAGGAAGGTAACATTTAAAAGAGATAAACATTATACTTCATTTGAGAATCCTAGCTCTGCAGATGGCTTGAAAATACAGACTGCTAAAATTTTAAGCATAATCTCACTTCTGCTTCTTAAGCAACTTTTTGATATACCTGTATGTCCAATGTTGAATTTGAACCTGATATTTTGACAATATCGGTATGTTTTTTTTTAAAAAAATACATATTTATCAACAGTGTGACAATAAGAACCAGCAATCAAACACATCCACATGAGGTGGCTGAGTTCAGGTCTCCTTAGTTTGGCAGATCTGCATTCTGAAGGATGAGGGCCACTCGGCTTGGAATGTATACCTGTCAACACAATCACATCAGTGTAATTGAAATAAATACTGAACATGGTCTTGTTACACACAGAAGTCATGAGTTTTCATATATTACTAATGCTACAGTTTATTTTTATAATTCTACTGGCTATCAGAAGGGTCAAGTTCATAGTTTCAAGAGTTTTGGCAGCAATCAAAAGCTATTACAGCGATTACCACTAGATGGCCCACACTATTTGCAAAAAACTCCACTCCTAAACACTATCTTGTGGTGAAGGAGGGTTGCCCCTGCAGTTCACAGTGTTACTCTATTTACGCTAATAAAATGCAACAATGAAATATTTTTTTAAAAAAAACATTGCTTTGCACTGACACTTTATAATCTCAAATTTAAAAAAAAACCTCTTTTTTAAAGAACAAAAATGGGAATGTAAAAAAGGCATCCTAAGTATATTAGGCCCTGTCTCCAATCTAATCCAAACAATTAACAAAAAAACCTCTCAAAACAACACAACATAAAACCCTTACTGTTTCACTTGAAATAGGAAACAGACCCTTTCCACACCCCCCTCCCCATTCCTTGCTGAGCTACCCACCAGCTCGGCTTCTCACTTGCACCTTCTCCCTCCTACAGTCTACAGCCTGATGGAGTCTTTAAGTGCCTTTAGATCTTTGCCTAGAATGTATCTTAGGCTCTAAACTACTCTTTGCCTTGCTTGTTCTTTTTTCTCTTATATCTAAAAGATCCTAGCTCCATGGAGAGGTTTTCCTTAACAGCCCTGGATTTCCTAGGTTCTCCATTCCATGTTAAATCATAGCTTCCTCTATTGCTTCTTTACAAACACTTAACAACTTTGTCTTCTTTTTCCAGTTCACTATCCTTCCTACTAGATCAGGGGCTTTACCGAAGCTGGGGCTATGTATCTTTTGATCTCTCAAAGTTAGCAAGTACTATTAGGAGAGGTAAAGACTGATGATAGCTGCATAAAAGGATGGATATAACTAATGAAAAAACAAGTTAAGTGATATGTTTATATTTCAAGAAAACATCTCCAATATAGTTATACATGAAATAATCCTTATGAAGTTTATAAGCAACTTGAATTGTCACCTTATTTATGTTACTTTTTATGTAACATAATTATTAGTAATGAATACAATAAAAATAATACTATTGATTGCTACTATCATTGTGATAACTTCTTTCCATCATTGACTTTGTTAATATTTTACCATATTCAGTAATTTCTCTAAGTAAAAACTAAACTAGTGGTTAAACTAGGAAAAAAAAACACCATCTTTTATAGTTTAGAAATAAAAAGTAGAAAACAAACACACCTTTAGGAATAAAAAACAATAGAACAGTTGATTCTCACTGAGACTTGCAAGTCAAATGTACTTTAACTTCGCAAATGACCTCAATGTTTTTGTCTAAGGCATCTGTAAAAAGAATGCCAACTATACTTACAAAAATGTTAGACACACCAACAGAGTTGGTTATTGTTTTAAATTTTATTTATTATTTTTAAGTGTATGAGTGTATTGCCTGCATGTATGTAAGTGTACGGTGATGTGCAATGCCCACAGAGGTCATAAGAAGGTGTTGAATTCTCCTGGAACTGGAGTTATGGATGGCTGTTAGCTACCATATGGGTGCTGGGAATTGAACCTGGGTCCTCTGCAAAAGCAAGCGGTGTTCTTAACCTCTGAGCCATCTCTCAAGTCCTGAGAGTTGGTTAGTTTAGAACATCAAAACCAAGTCCATTTTAAATGGTGGCATTTTAAGATTATTATGTTATGAAATAAAATGGTTAGATGATAGTTTTTCTAATCTTTATTTAAACATAACCATGATTTAGAAAATTATATTCATCTGAGAAAAATTCCCCAAACGCTAATAGTCACTGTTTAGCTCAATGTCATTATTTGATTTGCAATCAGTATTTTGAAAAGGAAAAATATTATATCCATGTAGTCATTGTATGAGTGGAAATAAATGCTACAGTCTGGTTCCCTAAAATTTGCACATTGTATTTAATTTCTATTAACTTTTAAACCACATTAGAATTTAACTGCTACTGTAATTCATTTCATTCACTGTTATCTCTTTGACTAAGACAATGATATCTAAGGTAAGATGTTAGAAAACTATTTCAACAAAAGGAAGCTGAACGTATCCAAGAACAAGGCAAAAGACTACTCCACGATCCAGAAAGATCCAATCCAAGTGATCTCATATTTCTATAATCAAGTCACATATTTCTATAATCAAGTCACACAGATCAAAGAAAGAGAAACAAAAAGAACCAACAATATGATTCAACTCATTCACTACATTTACAAAAAAGTCAGGCACACCAACAGAGTTGGTTAGTTTTGACCATCAAAACCAGGGCATCCACCCTGGACATCCACATAGGTACAAATTGAGAGAGTGATCTGTCTGTCTAAAGGGTAAAAATCTAAAGTTTTTTCTATGTACTTATTAAAGGGTATAGTCTACATACTCAGACCACAGTTATTGGATTTAACTAGTTGATGATACAGGAGGATATACATAGTATGCTTTCAAATTCTTTTGCCATAAGCAATCTTAAACCAATGAACAATCTAAGGTTTTATTTAGCATCAGAAACAGACACAATTTTCCAGATCTCTCTACATTAAAATCATTCTCACAAGATATCGTCCCATAATGCTGATGATAGGAACCTGGTAAATCCAATATCCTGATAAAGTTGAAATGAAACCTGTAAATCACACTGAGGAAGAATAATGACCAGTCCTTCTCAGTGTCTGGCACAGTGATATATCTGTACAAGTCTCCTCAGTCTCTTATTTGGATTCTAGGCAATTGTGGTAGCTACTGTTTGAATATATATTGTATTAATTATTTATTAATGGAAAATAATGACAACTATCATTTATAAGAAGGCTTACTCTCTTTGGAATCTTTGGTATTTAGTTCAAATTTAAGAGTAGAAACCAAGGGAATATAAGAAATTCAGACTTTCAATGTATGCACTGACTTTTCTTTTTTGGCATTATTTAATTAAAGTACTCCAGAAACTCTCACTAAATGATGCTGGTCATTTTGTGTAAGGAGCTTTATGATACCAGTTCCAGTCACACTCAGAGACCTCAATACTATCTTCTCAAAAACCTTCAGCTGGTAATTGTATAATGTCATTAACAGGAATATCATGCAATTATATTCTTTTCACTGCAGTGTTAATTACCACAATGTGTTTCTGTAGCTCTCAAGCCTTTGTGGTATGAGCAACATAAAAAAATTTCCCTAAGCAAGTGATTTTCCTTCACTATGGCTATTTATGAATATTTGAGTTTTATTCTTTATCATGTTTCTTAGTATGTAAATCAATTTTCTTAGTGGTTAGGAAATGACTACCAATTATACTAAAATGCTGAAGATAATCAGTGCTAATCCTTAAAACGAGATAATTAGAAACATGCACAATTTGGAGTCCCTAAAATTTAGTGCATAAGTATTGGCTCTGTAAATCTCATTTTAAAATTTAAATTCCAAAGAAGTTTTGATTTATATAAGAAGAGAAAAGAAGCATGAACAGAAAAGGAATTAAACATAAATGTTTAAGTATATTTAAATATAAGCAAGTTACATCTTGGTACACATACATAGACACCATTAGTATGTATGCTATAGATAATAAGCCTGTAAAACACATTTACTACACCCACAGAATCGGCTTTCATCCTTAGACATTTTTATAGTAAGGACCACATTAAGAACAAATGGAACCATGTAATATAAATGTCTATGAGTTTATCTTCTTTTTCTAGCTGTATTTATTATTACCTGGTATAAAGTATCATCCAAATCATTTATTGAGTGACAAGTGCATGCTAATGCACCAGTTATTTTGACTATTTTAATGACTTAATTACTATAGTAACAATTAGTGTGGCTCAAAAGTAACTGATCACAAAGTGATCCATTATGTCAACCAGACTGTTATTTTTCTCTAGGATCATAATAAGTTGGAAAAATTAATTATGCAATTTTAGAAATGAGGTGTCAAACACTTGCAAAAACAAAATTTTAAAACAAAAGGCATAATTCTACAAAGATTATTTTTAAAAACTTCTCATAAAGTGCAAATGTAGCAATAGCCCATTCAGATAAAATATTGGTAGGATGAAAACATCATTCAATGAAAAATATACCAGACCTTTTAACAGTGTACACATACTTTTCCTTTAAAAAGCAGCACTTAAGGGAATTTCCACTTTCACATATATGTTATAGTTTGCAATATATTTTTAAGAAAAAAAGTATTCTATTATTTTGTATTAGAGTTAGGATAC